CGTGGGTGTATGCGTCACAAAAAAAAAGATTCCCCCGTATAGCCTCTAGCGGAGTGCTGGGGCAAGTGCTGTTAGTGAGAACATACGAAGGCCGGCACGGGGCACGAGAGGGTGTGGCCAGGACCAAGCAAAGCCGCCTTTGTTTTCCAAATGTTAACACACGGCCGTGGGTCCTCATTGAAGGCCGAATACACTTAGGAGAGGTTCAGATATTCGCTACTAATCGATGCGTGGGCCGTGAGCGGGAATCGAACTCGGGAGGTGTGACGGTGCGCACCCACGGGGGGCAAGGTTTTCTTATCTTAATTGAAATCTATAAGGTTCAGCAATCAGGCACGTGCAGCAGCGTGCGGCGATTTAATCGGTATCTGACCGGACGACCGGTGGTGCACGCGGAGAGAGGCTGAACCATCGGGCTGGCTGTGTGAAAGCCGAGCTTCACTCGGCCGCATAAATTTGGCCAAAGGTGGAAGAGGCATTGTGTCGTCGTACGCGGCCAGGGTGGAGCTGCACGCGGCTTCTACCGCACCGATAAAGAGTAAAGCATTCGGGGTGACCGATGGTCCAACGCTCGCCCATTCACTCCGGTCAGTCGCCCGCTCGTCACTCTTCTATTGCTACCAATTCCTGTGAACTTCACTCGTTGATTCCTGCACCCGCACTCAGGTCGACCAGACAGTGCTGTTTCATCTCATCCACCTCACTGCAGATCACAACAACCCACCCACTCACCACACTGCAGGTCACCTGACGGTGTTTAACCACCACCACACTGCAGATCACAACAACCCACCCACTCACCACACTGCAGGTCACCTCACTGTGTTTAACCACCACCACCACCACACTGCAGATCACAACAACCCACCCACTCACCACACTGCAGGTCACCTCACTGTGTTTAACCATCACCACACTGCAGGTCACCTCACTGTGTTTAACCATCACCACCTCCACACTGCAGGTCACCTCACTGTGTTTAACCATCACCACCTCCACACTGCAGGTCACCTCGCTGTGTTTAACCATCACCACCTCCACACTGCAGGTCACCTCGCTGTGTTTAACCATCACCACCTCCACACTGCAGGTCACCTCGCTGTGTTTAACCATCACCACCTCCACACTGCAGGTCACCTCGCTGTGTTTAAACCATCACCACCTCCACACTGCAGGTCACCTCACTGTGTTTAACCATCACCACCTCCACACTGCAGGTCACCTCGCTGTGTTTAACCATCACCACCTCCACACTGCAGGTCACCTCACTGTGTTTAACCATCACCATCCCCACACTGCAGGTCACCTCGCTGTGTTTAACCATCACCACCACCTCCACACTGCAGGTCACCTCGCTGTGTTTAAGCACCACCACCTCCACTCTGCAGGTCACCTCGCTGTGTTTAACCATCACCACCTCCACACTGCAGGTCACCTAACTGTGTTTAACCATCACCACCTCCACACTGCAGGTCACCTCGCTGTGTTTAACCATCACCACCTCCACACTGCAGGTCACCTCACTGTGTTTAACCATCACCACCTCCACACTGCAGGTCACCTCGCTGTGTTTAACCATCACCATCTCCACACTGCAGGTCACCTCGCTGTGTTTCACCATCACCACCTCCACACTGCAGGTCACCTCGCTGTGTTTAACCATCACCACCTCCACACTGCAGGTCACCTCGCTGTGCTTAACCATCACCACCACCTCCACACTGCAGGTCACCTCGCTGTGTTTAAGCACCACCACCTCCACTCTGCAGGTCACCTCGCTGTGTTTAACCATCACCACCACCTCCACTCTGCAGGTCACCTCGCTGTGTTTAACCATCACCACCACCTCCACTCTGCAGGTCACCTCGCTGTGTTTAACCATCACCACCTCCACACTGCAGGTCACCTCGCTGTGTTTAACCATCACCACCTACACACTGCAGGTCACCTCGCTGTGTTTAACCATCACCACCTCCACACTGCAGGTCACCTCACTGTGTTTAACCATCACCACCTCCACACTGCAGGTCACCTCGCTGTGTTTAACCATCACCACCACCTCCACACTGCAGGTCACCTCGCTGTGTTTAAGCACCACCACCTCCACTCTGCAGGTCACCTCGCTGTGTTTAAGCACCACCACCTCCACTCTGCAGGTCACCTCGCTGTGTTTAACCATCACCAACACCTCCACTCTGCAGGTCACCTCGCTGTGTTTAACCATCACCACCACCTCCACTCTGCAGGTCACCTCGCTGTGTTTAACCATCACCACCACCTCCACTCTGCAGGTCACCTCGCTGTGTTTAACCATCACCACCACCTCCACTCTGCAGGTCACCTCGCTGTGTTTAACCATCACCACCTCCACTCTGCAGGTCACGTCGCTGTGTTTAACCATCACCACCTCCACTCTGCAGGTCACGTCGCTGTGTTAAACCATCACCACCTCCACACTGCAGGTCACCTCGCTGTGTTTAACCATCACCACCACCTCCACTCTGCAGGTCACCTCGCTGTGTTTAACCATCACCACCACCTCCACTCTGCAGGTCACCTCGCTGTGTTTAAGCATCACCACCACCACTCTGCAGGTCACCTCGCTGTGTTTAACCATCACCACCACCACTCTGCAGGTCACCTCGCTGTGTTTAACCATCACCACCACCTCCACTCTGCAGGTCACGTCGCATTCTCCTCCTGCTTCTTCACTCGCACCTCTCCACTGGAATTCCCTCTCCCATCGTCATCGTCTCTCTCCCCCCACCTCCGAGCTCTTGCAACAACCTCGCTCAATTGAAGAGATGCGTGACACGTCTGCCTGGTACATCTGCCACGGTGCCGTTTGTCGCTGCCCGTTTGACGTTCGGGGCCCTGGGCTCAGCGACTGCGCAAAATAAATGAATTAATAAATAATTAAACGTTACATAATGACCGCAGCTGCAACGATCGCTGCGGGCGGCGCGTGCGTGCGGGCAGGCGAGGAAACCGTCCGCGACCGAAGCCCAGAGAGCAGGACGAATCGTAGCGGCAGTGTCCAAAACTTAACCGCCATGTGTTTAAAATAAACAAAAGGAGTAAAGAATCACGGCCGGATGGATGGGGCTCGCTGTTGATGGTTGTTAATTGTAAAGCGCCGCTGTTTGCATGCGAGGATGTTGGCTAATTTTGTCACGAAAATGTTCAAACGACAGTGAACACAAACACCGCCCCATGGGTCCCACAACAGCGACGCTACCCACCCCAAACACGAACCACCCCGCTCATCTCAACAACAACAACAACACCACCACCACCACCACCACACGCCCACCACCCATACGTGAACACCACACCAATCCTTACCGCACACACCCACCACGCCGACCCCCACCCCACCACCCTGACCCCCACCCCACCACCCTGACCCCCACCCCACCACCCTGACCCCCACCCCACCACCCTGACCCCCACCCCACCACCCTGACCCCTACCCCACCACCCTGACCCCCACCCTGACCCCCACCCCACCACCCTGACCCCCACCACGCCGACCCCCACCCCAACACACCGACCCCCACCCCAACACACCGACCCCCACCCCAACACACCGACCCCCACCCCAACACACCGACCCCCACCCCACCACCCCGACCCCCACCCCACACACCGACCCCCACCCCACCACCCTGACCCCCACCCCACCACCCTGACCCCCACCCCACCACCCTGACCCCCACCCCACCACGCCGACCCCCACCCCACCACGCCGACCCCCACCCCACCACGCCGACCCCAACCTCACCACGCCGACCCCCACCCCACCACCCTGACCCCCACCCCACACACCGACCCCCACCCCACCACCCTGACCCCCACCCCACCACCCTGACCCCTACCACCCTGACCCCTACCCCACACACCGACCCCCACCCCACACACCGACCCCCACCCCCCTGACCCCCACCCCACCACCCTGACCCCCACCCCACCACCCTGACCCCTACCCCACACACCAACCCCTACCCCACCACCATGACCCCCACCCCACCACCCTGACCCCCACCCCACCACCCTGACCCCCACCCCACCACCCTGACCCCCACCCCACCACCCTGACCCCCACCCCACCACCCTGACCCCTACCCCACCACCCTGACCCCTACCCCACCACCCTGACCCCTACCCACCACCTGACCCCTACCCCACACACCGACCCCCACCCCACCACCCTGACCCCCACCCCACCACGCCGACCCCCACCCCACCACGCCGACCCCCACCCCACCACGCCGACCCCCACCCCACCACGCCGACCCCCACCCCACCACCCTGACCCCCACCCCACCACCCTGACCCCCACCCCACCACCCTGACCCCTACCCCACACACCGACCCCCACCCCACCACCCTGACCCCCACCCCACCACCCTGACCCCCACCCCACCACCCTGACCCCTACCCCACACACCGACCACTACCACACCACCCTGCCCCTACCCCACCACCCTGACCCCTACCCCACACACCGACCCCTACCCCACCACCCTGACCCCTACCCCACCACCCTGACACCCACCCCACACACCCACCCCCACCCCACACTTCCCATCGCTGCGCCTTCACGGCGGCCGCCACCCTCGAACGCCTCGCTCGCTCCCCGGGGCTGCCCCTCGCTCCCCCGGCTGCCCCGCACTGCCCCCTCGGCGGTGAAAGCGACGCCTCAGGTCGCTTGTAACGTCCAGCGCGCCGCGGAGGCACAAACAAGCCGAGGCTGCGGTCTCATTAATCAGCCGTCCAATCCAAACTGTTTACGTTTCTGTGGCCGCCTCGTTACGCCGGAGAGCCAGCGGCCCCCCCCCCACCCCACTCCACAGCCCCCCCTTTTCCTAGCGACCCCTGGGCATCCCCCTCTCCCCCCCGGCCAAGTGCCGCTTGGCAACGCCACACTCACCGCCGCCATGACCCACCCGACTACCCACACGTCGCGCGGTACCCGACTACCCACACGTCACACTCACCGCGCCGCTCTTCGGTGTCTTGAGCCCTGACACCGCTTTGCCTTCCTTCGAGGACGCCTGCTCCGTCTGGACAGGAGTTTTCGCTGCCTTGGCTGGGGTCTTCTCTGCCTTAGCCGGTGTCTTGTCCACCTTTGCCGGTGCCTTCACCACCTTTGCCGGTGTCTTGTCCACCTTAGCCGGTGTCTTGTCCACCTTTGCCGGTGTCTTGTCCACCTTTGCCGCTGTCTTGTCCACCTTTGCCGGTGGCTTTACCACCTTCGCCGGAGTCTTGTCTGCCTTGACTGGCGTCTTAGCCAGTGCTGGCTCTGGCTTTTTGTTGGGGGTGCCGTTCACTTTGGGGCCAGGCGCGGCCTTGCCCAGGGTAGGCGCCTTGTCACAAACGCACACACGCACGCAGACACACAAACGGCCACTGTTAACAATCGCTGGGAACACCACAGTGCCACAGAGAAGGGCCCTGGCCCTCACTGCCCCGACTACCCCCGTGGCTTGTCGTGGTTGTGGTGGTCGTTGCGCCATCCCGGGCTGTGCTGCAGCGTTGCTCTCTCTCCAGCATCTCCTTGCCCTGACCCCAGCCCACCCAGACCTCCCTTCTCCCATAGTTCCCATCTTTCATTTTAGTCTCGAGATGGATCGCATCTCAAGACGTTACACAAATTCCAATTCCTGCCGCTGTTGTTGTTGCTGCTGCCGCTGCAGCACCCGATACACGCCGGGGGAGGGGAGTGGAGGGGGCACCGGCTGGGCTGGCACGGGCCCCACCGCACCAGGTGGTGGCAGCACTGCCAAGCTCCGCCACCCACAGCTCCCTGGTGCACACGTGCACCAGTGCGTGTGGGGTGGTCCCACACGCAATCGCGTCCTTCCACCCTCGCAGAACGGATCTCATCACCCCGTGCCGATTAGGCCGCCCGCTAATTAAAACTCACTACGCTTCTAACCGTACGCCCGCCGCCACCGCGGCCGGCGTTGCGTTTATCTCGCGGCTTCCCACGGTTTAGGGGGCGGCGAGGTGGCAGACTGGTGGTGGGCAGGTGCACGGCCACCTGCAGCCTCCACCACTCCCTACCCCCGGGACCTTGGGCCCGACGGATCGCGCGCGTGCACCCGCGGTGGGAGACACGCAGCGCTCTCCCAGACGCGGCGATAACGCACAAGCGAACCGCAGCAGCCCTTTCATGTTCCACCACTGCCCTTGAACCAAGGAGTTGTTGTTGGTTTCTTTGCGCTCGTTTACCCAGAAAGCCTCACTGGGTCCCACGACGCGGAATCTTTAGCGGCCACTGGAGAAGCCGACGGTGCGTAGTATTTTCACGGTTATTGCACTCGCAGTATCAATCGGGGCAGGCCGCTGGATTTGAACCGTGAATCTATGCAGCAAGTGCCGATCGCGCGACATTGAGGCCGCAAGCGGAGGCCACAAGCGGAGGCCGTGGGGCCCGTGTCGTCTCCACCGTGGCCTGCGCCCCACAGCTCCTCTCTCTCCACGGGCCTCCGATACCCGGAATGCACGGCAAGGAACGGGGGGAGCCTCCACTCACCTTCACGAGGACCTTCTGCTTGGGCACCTCCTCCTCATCTTCATCATCGTCGTCATCGTCATCATCGTCGTCGTCGTAGCTGCTTAAGGAACAGACGGTGTTACTCGGGCGCGCGTTCAACCGCGCGGCATGACACCACGTGAACACACGGGGGGGGGGGCTGGGGTCCGCTCAGTTCACACAATGCACGTGCCACGAACCGATTCTTGGATTAAATTACTTTCATCTCAAGTCTGTAATGAGTGGAACGGCCTCTAGTGGCTAATGGTCTCATGAACCCATGACACAAACTGCGATCACTATTTATTTGTGCGCATGTCACTGGATTAGTGTACCGGGCACACGGGGACAAGAGGAGAGAGGAGCAGGGGGAGAGAGACAAGAGAACACAGGGAGAGGGGGCATGGGGAAACAGGGAGCACAACCCCCAATCACCTGTCGTCATCGTCGTCATCATCATCTTCATCATCTTCATCATCTTCATCCAGCTTGGTTTTTTTCTGGTTTGGGGAGAGGGTGTGGTGAGAGAGATTGAGAGTTAGGGAGGGAGAGAGAGGGAGAGATTGGCACCAGTCGGCCAAAGACGACCCCATGGTGCACACCCAGCCTGTCATAAAATGTAATCTTTATATATTTGTCGTCCATTTTGTTTCCAAAATGTATTATATAACGCATTAAAAAGTAGCTCAAAACGAATTGAAGACCATGAGTTCGTCATTAATTACTGAAAACTGCACATTTATTAAAGATCTTAAGAGTGGTGCGTGATGCACGATGACCACGCACATCACTCACGCTCCCCTGCACGTATGTTCTCTCACAGAGACAACGGAAGTTGCCAGGCCGCTGATGTTTACACACCGCAGGAGATAGTCGACCACGGGGAGGCCCAGATAATGGTCACCGATGCTAGCTGTGGTGAGCAGGAATTGAACTCCGTCGCCAGGTTCGTAGTGCAGCGCGCTAACGGCAACGCCACCGCTGCCCACCACACAACAAACACTCTTGACGCACGCCCTCGCTCACGTGCGTGACCCGTCGCCGCAATCTCTGCGCAAACGTCGTGCCTCCTCCTCCTCGCTTGCACCTCTCCTCTCACCTTGGCAATCTGCGGCACCTTGAAGGGCGCAGGCCGCTTGTTGGGCGCTGGCACGAGCTTCGGCGGCTCCTCCTCGTCATCATCGTCATCGTCGTCGTCGTCGTCGTCGTGGAAATCGTTGCAGGGATCTGCCCACAGACACACAGACGGCTCGAGACATGCCAACAATCGCAACACCGGGTAGCAAGTGTGAGCGGGTGTGCGAGTGTGTGAGCGTACGAGTGAGTGGGTGACAGTGTGAGCGTGCGAGTGAGTGGGTGACAGTGTGAGTGAGTGTGCGAGTGGGTAACTGAGTATGAGTGTGTGAGCGTGCGAGTGAGTGGGTGACAGTGTGAGCGAGTGTGAGAGCGTGCGAGTGAGTGGGTGACAGTGTGAGCGGGTGTGCGAGTGTGTGTGAGCGTGCGAGCGTCATTACAGGCGACATGCTGCCCCGAGATGTAGACTGGGCCTGAGCCGCACTTGAGCGTCAGCACCACGGGAGCCGCCAGGTCAAACCCCGAGAGCGAGAGCTGCACCGACACACAAAGATCGCCCACGTAGCTTTTAACAGCCTGTCAGGGCAAATGCTGATGGCGTGCGCCTATGAAGGCTGGCAAGGTGCACCGATGAGGGGTTGGGACAAGCAGGCAACACCATGTCTGGCCGCCTTTGTCTTCCCAGTGCTGTTGTCCACATAGCACTCAGACTCACCTGAGGCCAAGTCAGGACCAACATCAGTTCAAACATTTGCCACAGTTATTGGTCATGAGTGGGAATCGAACTCGGGTCACAAGGTTTGTAGGTAAGTGTGCTAACCACTGCCCCACCGCTCCTAATCTGTGCGGTGACTCTACCACGCGGTCACTCAGGGCACAAAAGAGCAAACCCCAAGGGATAGTTTCTCACTCGGTATATTCTGGCGCACTTAAACAGTTGCCACAGCTGTGTCGAAAGGTATTCTGGATGTGGTTTGGTCGAGTGTGGAAATATTTTTTGGGTCGCTGACACGGAGAGACAGACGCGGTTTAAATTAAAGCACTGCTATGCTATTTTTAAAACTATTTTAACTCTTTTATTTTACCAGGTAAGACCCACTGCGCCATGTAGCTCTTTTTCAGAAGCAACCCGGCCACAAACGATAGTGCAACAAAGTGGCTTTTTACGTGAAAATGTAGAGCAGCAGCGAAAATACTCTAAAAGCATGTTTCTAAATGCGGATGGAAAAACCGGAGGACCCGGAGAAAAATCCAAGTGACTACGGAGAGAGAGACACGCAAATTCCAAATGTACAACAGGCGTCAGGGTCAGGATTGAACTCAGGACCTCCCGGATACCAGGCGCGGTAAGTTAACATCACGCCACCGTGGCGCCGCTCTTTTGAAAGTCAGTGTGCGCGTGCACGACTACCGCGAGGGCACCAGGTCTCACCGAGGGCAGGACGGACGGCTTGAGAGTGGCGATGGGGATGGTGACCGGCTTGCCGCCCTTGCCCAGGGTGGTCACCTCCAACACGTGGAAACGGTCCTCCGCCTCGGGCGCCACACACACCTGGGGGGCACGCACGCGGTCACGGGGGGGGGGGGGCGAGGGGGGGGGGATACACACCTCGTCACTCGCTCATCCAGACACTTCGTCACTCGCCCCATCACTCACCAACGCCCCAGCCCGCCCCCCTAACCGTGATTGAATGTCCACACGATGGAGGCATGGGGCTGTCTATGGGGGGTCTGGCTGGATGGCACTGGGCCGCCACGCGTCCACGAATGTCTCGTGGGGTCACAGCGCCACCTGCGGGAGCGCACGTCCACTGCGGCGCTAGAAGCGGATCCCCTCGCCAACGACGGGGCCACCACTTCCACCTCGGCCTCGCTGGCACCGCTCGCCAGAAGCTGCCATCTCGTATGCCGTCGGGACAATAAATAATAATAATGCACTGCCCGCTTACATGGTTTGCCGACTGCGTTTCAGATATTCGCCAACCAGACACGAATTACTGGCTCTTCCCGAACATCAACCAACTAGCCCTCCAGCTACGACCGCTGGCCCATCCCCAAGCCAAACAAGCTCAACAGCCCTGAGTGCGAACTCCATCTATAGTCAACCAGCCACATACGGTATCCCTCGCCTCATCGACCCTCGGCAGAGCCCTAACGAGCATGCCAACTAGCCACTGGTAACCAGCCACTCCCACCACCTGCCCTACCCCACGATGCTCCTGCTTACAGGCCCAAGTGGAAATTCCACATTCATATGACGGGGATAAGTTTATTGGCAGAAGAACCACTGTTGACAAAGTGCTACTCATTGTATCAACTCCCGAGGGACGATGGGCCTAATCAAACCCCCAACCAGGATTTGAACTCGCGACCTTCCGATTGCAAGCCACTCGCTCTCCCGCTGGGCCACCTGGGGGGCATACTCCGTGCTCCGCCAGGCCCCACGTTTTTTAATATTTTTTGTACGAAATTTCAGATTTAGGGTTTCGTTTAACTCGGCGCCAGCTCCTCGGAGCGACGGTTGGAGGTAGCCGCGAGGTGGACGGGCTGCAGCCTCACCGAACTCAGCATCAGGTGCATTTCCGCGTGATCGTCATCGTCCTCCGGGTTGAACTTGTACACTTTCTTGGCAGCGTTGAGCTCGCAGCCTGAGCCCAGAGATGGGCGGTGGCGCACGCGGAGGACAGGCAAAGAGAGGGGCACGGTTAGGACCAAACACGGAGCCAAGGCAAAGTGCATTCCTAGCTGTCAACCCGCCACCGCTCTCTTCCATCATCCCTTCTAGCCACTACGCGTCCTGCACAAACCCACTCGCGTCTCCCTTAAAGAGTAGCGCATGATCCATGCGCTACTCTTTCTCTCTGTCATTGTAATTCCCAGCACGCATCTCTCCGTGCAACAAGTCAAAGTGACGGGAACCGAGTTGTCGTTGCGCATCTACCGTTTACAGCGCTGCAGACCCCGTGGTAGAAATTCCACATTCCTATGGCAGGGGGGAGTCTATCCAAAGACAACCACTGTTGACTTATCCAGAAAGTGGTACTATTTTATCAACCCCGGAGAGATAATTAACGAAAGCATTTAAATCAATACAATCAAATGCAACAGCAGTTTGCTACAGTAACAAAAAACATCGTAATCCGACTACTGCAGCAATTGAATACAGGTATTAAATCATTAAGTCAACAGGTATTAAACATGTTCCATTATCATACACGCATACATATGCCACGTTTGACAAGTTATAAAATACACCGCTGTTTCACAGATGTTCATTCTGGCAAGATCGTGTGTGCGATCGATTGCCATGGCGTGCGTAGTCCGCGTGCAGATGACTGTAGCATACGCTGTTTGTTGGAGTGTTTGATTAAAGGTTTGCTTTTCGGCAATATATTTATGAATGTATTTAATACATTAATTAGGATGTGTTAAATACCATTATTCAACATACGAGCAGCACACACGGCCTTTAAACGTGACCGATAGAATGAATAAAGGCACGGAAATCGACAGATTTTTAATGATACCACCACGCGTGGTCCATGCTCGAACACAAGGTTGGATATTTTTAATACAAATGTTGAAGTCGTTAAAGTGCCTCCTGGCACCAGATTTCTCGAACTAAAGAGACGATTTGTTCATCGACCCCCCCCCGCCCCCCCTATTAGGCCACCCTTTAGGCTCATTGGCTTCCTTCTCCACAAAAACGCGCGGTGGTGGGTGTGACGTCACCACGCACGAGCCCCGGCGCTGCGGACGTCATCACGCACACGACGTCATCACGCACACGACGCCATCACGCACACGACGTCATCACGCAGACGCGCGCGTGCGCACAGGCGAAGCGCGCCAGGCCGGTAGCCGCGGGCACGAATGGAACCAGAGGAGGTTCATTTCGTATTAACCTTGTTGCGATGCGCGATTGTAGGAAATCATACACTATAAGAATGAAACAGAAACTAATGCGAGCCCGTACGCATAGTTAGAACGGTTTAATGTTGAGAATGTGTTGTCTAATGCACGAATTTCCAAAGCTTTCTTCGGCTGCAATATACGGCAGTAACATCCTAAGAAGTTGCAGAACCGTTATTATTCACTAGCAACTATTGTGAAAGTGCTCCGGTACATTTAAGGGCGAGTAGTACACTGCGAATGCCAGATTTAGTGAGTTTAATGGCTTTGTGAATTCTTAGTAACGGGTCAGTAGTTTTTGGTTGTTGCAAAGCGCACGTGGAAGACGCGTGGTAGCCAGAGGCTATCTACAGCACAAGCTTGAGTTCAACATTATACACTTAATCAGTCGGTGGGTGGGCTGGCCACGTGGCCATCATATAGCGGTTTCAATTTTTTTTTATCAAAATCATGAGCGTCGTAGCTCGAGTGATACATCACGTTATACTGTTGCGTTGAACCTGGACCCCTCTAGCGTAAAGAGAGGGGTCCCCCTATTCCTTGCCTCGAAGATCAGCAGGTCACCGGCATTGATAAAAAAAACACAAGCCCCGACTGATGATGCGACGCAGTGTGTCGAAACCGGTCGGTTTTTACTGGTAATCAGCCACACGATCTTCTGGGAGTGCATACTCTCAGCAGCATCGAGTCTTAAGATTTAAACCGCTCTACGATGGCCACGTGCCCAGCCCACCCACCGACTGATTAAGTGTATAATGTTGAACTCAAGCTTGTACTGCAGATCGCCTCTGGCTACCACGTGTCCTCCACGATGTGTTTAAGAAATAATTTTATGTTGAGACTATATCATTTCAGAGGCTTTTGGGCGTCATTAATTTAACCCTCTCACAAATTTTATCCAAGCCAAGGTGAAACTTTTGTACACTTACATTCCTAATTACTATGCAATTACACTTTACGGTATATTAGCATGGCCATTTCCGTTTTATGGTCCACTGGGATCAGGGTTTCTCGCCTGATTTAATGCAACATTTTTTTTCTATAGATGTGTAGTTATTAAAGCAATAATACGGCCTTTAAATAAAAAATGTGCGACGAACGAGTTAATGTATTGTGAATCACTGCCAACGCAGCAGCGACATCACCAAATAAGATGGTAAATTCAACCGGTTCTGTTATTTCCAACTTAAACGTTTTTAAATACGCTGCTTATAAATAAGGTTTTTTTTAACTCGCATTGCGCGGTTATCCATCTTAAAGACAAATAAATAAGCATATATCTGCCATGCATTTTTGCACAAGTCCACAATACATCGTTCTAAAGTTCAGCTGGGCCGGGTGGACACGTGTGCACGTCCAGAACACGTGTTCGCATGCCCCACCACGCGGCTTTAAAAGTAGCTCGCAAGCTACAAAAGAACAACTCCACGGCAACGACACTCGTGTCGCCACCACGCACGGGCGCGAGGGCTCGGATCCAATCTCGAGCTCGAGAGGGAGACACGCTTCTTCAGACTCTGCCCTGCGGCAAGAGGCGGCCACTTTCCGGCCACGCGGCCAGGCAAATCCCAGGCCCCGCGAGCGCGCAGGCCGCGGACCATGTGCCTCGCGCGCAGCCTCTTTACATTTCCCAACGCTGATCGGCAACGACCACCCGAACTTGCGCCACCCATTGGTTCATTTACAGCCATCAACCAATCACAGCACGGACACAATCACCCGCGTGGTCCGCAACGGCCAATCGAAGCAAAATTAATCTTATCCGCGCTATGAAATCAAACCGTGCAGCGACCACTGGGTTTCTACCCAGAGTTTATCTCCGGGAGGCTCCCGCCTCTCGCTGCTGCTGCCCCGGCTGCCCGCTCCTTCTGCCCACCGCTCACCAAAGATGTAGGACTGGGGCTTCGCCACGTCGTCCAGAGACTCCATATCGGCGCTGTCGTCCATGAAGGCGGCCATCGCTCCTGTTGTGCTGCACGCTGCTTGTGGCTCCCACACTCCCCTGCGGCAGTGGCTCTCGGTGGGGGCGGGGGCGCCTCTATTGGGGAGGGGCTTAGCGCGGAAAGGGGCGGGCTCTGCGGCGTGTGGGCGTGGCTTGGTGGCGGTGGGAGGAGCTAAGTGGTTTATGACCGCATCAATGTGTCTCTTTCTCCCCCTAAGCCTGCTCACTCCTTTTTGTTGCACTCGTTGACATGCAAATTTTGTCTCTAACCCCTCCCTCTCGCTGCCTCCGCCCCCCCTCTGTCTATTTAAGGCCACCCCACAGAGACGATCACCCCTCTCTGTACCTGTGTTGCCCGCTGTGTGTATCTTGGTGATATCTGTCTGCTTATATGTCTGTCTATAATTTTTTCTGGTTCGATTTTATGTCGCTATTTCATTATACCTGATGATGATTGCTTGTGTTGCAATCGAAACGTCGTATGTTATTATTTAATTTATTATTTTTTCTTTATACGTGACTTTACCGAAAGAACCAAATAATAATTCCTGCAGTCACGAAAGCTCCAAAGTTAAGATTGAGAAGGACTTGTTTCAAGGACGTTTTATTCATGTAAATTATTATATTCGTTGGGACCTTTGTTTTGCCAGTACCAAATATCAGAATAGGTTTTACCCTTTTTGCATTATGATACCTTGAAAACGTTTACGTTTGGCGTTTTAACATCTTAACAACTCTTTTATTTATATTCTTTGGGTAAATCACGTAGATGGTTCAAAGAAAATAACAAAAAACTACGACGTTTCGATCACAACACAAGCGATCGTCATCAGGAGATCGTCATCAGGAGATCACTTGTGTTGTGATTGAAACGTAGTTTTTTGTTATTTTCTTTGAACCATCTACGTAACTTTACCGAAAGATCCAAAGCATATAAATTCCTGTAGTCACGAAAGCTTCAAGTCAATATTTAACCTCTTTATTGCCAGCAAGGGTAAAACCTATTATTGTTTTATTATTATTATGCCACTGTGAAATGTGCTGCTCCACGACGAGAGGGCTTCAAGTAACGAGTTTGTGGAGTTTTGCGATTCCTCCTCGGTGAAAGGAGCGCAGTTTGCAGTGGGGTATAATGTGGGTCCGTAGTTTGGAGTGGCACTGCCTTGGCTTGTGTTTGTTAATTGTGGATGTATGAAGGAGATGTGTGCATCGCCCTGATGATGTTCTGATTGCTCGCTCGGGCACGTTCCATCATCATCATCAGCTTGGAGATGGAGGATGAGAGGGATAATGTCGTGTAGCCAGGGCCGGGTCAAGGCGTGGGGGCTTTAGGGGCCTCCGCCAGGTGGAAGGGCTTCCAGAGATTGAGTGAAAAGTTATATAATTTGTGAATGCTGAATTTTATTGGTTGTTAACCTTGTAAAAATAAATTGCATTTTCTTTGGAAAATATTACTGGAGGCCTCCCAGTACCTGGAGCCCAGGGGCCTACACAATCTTAACCCGGCCCTGCCTGTGGCTGGAGGGAAGCTATTGCGATGACTTTGGCTTCCTCCATCCTTTTGGTGTTTCTGCCTGCCCCGTGTGGCGGGCCAACTCCCGAGACAATGGAAGCAGAGAGACGTCGCGGTTACCTCAGAGTTTATCTCAGTGACCTCACGGTTATCTTTGACTGACCTCATGGTAACCTCAGTTTATCTCAGTCATCTCACAGTTATCTCGAAATGACCTCGCGGTTACCCTTAATCACGGTAGCAAACTCGCCCCTTTTAAAAGATGCGTTTTGCTGTTTGTTTGCTGGCCGCTTGGCGTTTTTGGCCTGTGGTCAGCAACTGGCATTTAAAAATATAAACAGCGTATTCATTTGTATAACACAATAAACTGTGTAGTGATGCCCTCACTTCGCCAGACACGCAATGTTTCACCCATCGAGAACGTGAACACAACTAGCGCCAATCAACCGTGTGCCTCACTGCGTAATACAAACCGATATCACGCACAAAACTAGAGGCCGCTTTGTTTAAATTAACGTTACATTTTAGGTGGTAGGTCTTCATTTGTTTTGTAAAATCTTAAACTTAAATTCAACTAATGGTTGGGAAGGTACACAGCAGGGAATGACGACGTCACACGGTGTGTATCAAGGGTAATTATTGAAGGCAAACATGGATCAAATTTATTAAATAAAGATGCAAATGAAAGCAGAATGATTAGGATTGTTTTTCTTTATTCGTAATGGAATGCAATAGACCAGTGAACGTGGAACATTGGGTCCACGTTGGCATGTTCCCCAGGAGGCCAGGTGTGCCTTGCGGAAGTTTCTAATGAGTGTAAAATGATCTGGCGTGATAATACGGACGAGAAACAAACATTGTCAAAAGAAATAAAAACAAATTCTTTAAAAGAACACAAGAAAGCATGGCGAGTTGCATACTGGAAAGAGGAACACAAATCAGAGAACAATGCACGCTAGAGACATCACATTGACCGTTAACATTTGCTGACTTGGCCAGAGACATTTTGCTTGAATCGACGATTGCTGGTGATAGAAGTTCAGCCAAAGAAGGGAATCACTCCCGGGAGGATGCCCACCGCGGACACGGAGCTCCGAGATGAGCCTGGGATGCAGAAGCGAGATGGGTTGTGGCATCGCACGACAGACGAGGGGTGGCGAAGATGGAGGGCAGCTTTCTATCCAGCATTGGATACACCATGGCTGACGATGATGATTCCTTAGAACTGTTGATTATTTTTATCACCCACAGTATGCGGTCGGTATGTACTGTCTTCATGTATTGTGGGTATTAGAAGCACGACGACGCCTGGCGAATGCTACTGGAACAAATCGCCCCGTAAACACTCACCGTTGTTTTAATATACGGTGGTGGTGAAATGACCTTGTCTATGTCATTCGGCTCTCATGGATATTGGGACTTTACAAACCCATGTGCGTTATTGCCACGAGGCTGTTGTTAAAACAGCATTCGCAACAGGTGGACATGTTGCACTGTCATGCATGCGTTCCGTGAGTTGACCCAGCGCATTAATTACAGACATCGTGGAGACCTGATCCTGAGCTGTGGTGAAGGCATGGGACCCCAATTAGTCCATCCTTCAATCGGATGCATTGGTTCTAAAGTTTGTTATTGCATCAGTGTGAGTTGTGTACGCAAGGAGTTTGTTTCGTGTTGTGTTGTGGTGTTTTGTCAATGCAATGTGGCGCTAGCATTTCCCGCCTACATTCGGCATTTCTCCTGCACAGTATCTATGCCTCAGCCTGTGTGCACTCCGCCCCCACACCGCACCGCCCATAAAAGGTTGAAATGCTCTCATGCTGTTTCACGTACATACTGTCTCTCTTACTCAAGATATTTCGCACACATGCTGTCCCTCTCGTGCCTTCACATGCTCAGGCTGTCATACAGGGCCCCGTAGCCGAGCGGCGGGGCCTTGGAGGAGAGGCGGCGGAGTCGGATGGCGTGGAGCCACTTGGGTAACCCGGTCGCCCCTTCACCCTCAGCCTGGCTCCTTCGCCCAAACATCTCGGTGATCTCCAAAAACGTCCTGTAAGGAGATGGTCACAGGTTCACGGGGTCAGGGGTCATGGGGTTCAGGGAAGTGGGGGGAACTAATGACCCGTGGGCTGGACACCGTCTGCAACTTCATTTTAGACGTTCTGCAAAGGCCATATGAGGCCTACCCAGATCGCTCGAAGACTAAAGTAGATAGGAGACTAGCATCCTTAGTCATAGCGAGGGGTATACTGGATGTGGCGTGCCTGGTGCAGACATTTCCTGGGTCGCCATCCCAGACAAACCCGGCTGAAAATGAAGCCATGGTTTAGGGTAGTGGTGGGCAAAGTCCATGAGGGTCACATGAGGCCTGCCACTTCAAACCGGCACGAACATCTTTGCCGCACTAATCGGATACTAGAGGGGAGAATGTTTTTGCCCTGGCAATAACACCATTTATTATTTTATCACCGCGCTCAGTCGCTTGCGTTACTGCAAGGGTGGCTCATTCACTCACTCACCCCCTCACCCACCCACCCACCCACTCACCCACACCTCATTTGGCACACACCTGTTGCGCGTCTCGGGAATCACCAGGTAGACGTAGATGGCCGTGAGGATGCACACGGTAGCGAACACCAGGTAGCAGTAGGGGCCCGCGCTCTCCTGGTGGCACCAGGGAGGGGGTGACATCGTGTGGGAATGAGTAGCGGTCAGCGCACTGCGCTACCAACCCGACGACCCGAGTTTAATTCTCACTCACGGCCAATTACAATCAAAACCAGCTCTAACTAGGTCGACTCAGCCTCAAGTTGCGGTGACATCACCTCAGTGCTTGTGCCAGGCTCGGTATATTTTGAGGCCATGTGAAGTGTCGGAAGTCACAGGACAGTCCCAGGTGTTATGGGTTAACTGGCTGAGACGACTGGCAGATGTACCACTTGTGCTCCCAGATACCCCTCACCCCTCACCTCACACTGTTCCCCCTAAACCCACACATCCTTCTCACCCCACAGCTCACATCCTCACACCTCACCCCACACCACACATCCATCACACCGCCGCACCCTTTCCTCTCGCCCTCCCTCATCACCACATCCCTCCCCACTCACCTGCAGGAAGGGGAAGACGAAGCCCACGGTGAAGTTGGACACCCAGTTGAGGGAGCCCCCCACGATGTAGGCGGCCGGGCGGTGCGACTGCCTGAACAGCTCCGCCGTGATGATGAACGGGATCCCCGCTGTGGGGCCCGGGAGGGGGGGAGGGTGGAGGGGATAAAAAAAAGATGTGCAGACCCTGACCCCTGTCAGTGCGATGTCGCCTGACGCTGACAACACCACACTGACCAACACCCTGAAGCCAACCTTGACCATGACACTGATCTTGACAGTGGCCGTGATGGTCAACGTGGACTGTGGAGATGGAGGGCAGCTCCAGGTCAGGGATGAGAGTGAATGACCTTGGGTTGAGGTACAATGATCAGGGGTCAATGGGTAGAGAGATCAGGGGTCAAGTCCCACTGACCTGGTCCAATACAGAATCCGCCGATGATGCCCGCCACGCACGCCACGCTCACGTACGGCATCCACGACACCGTGTCCTGCGGTACACACGGGGGCACGTCTACAGCAACAATAACTGTCGCCATTCACCACACAGTGGCGGTGACGTCAGCACGGCGCTTGTGTCAGGCTGGGTGCACTTTGAGGCCACGTGAAGTGTGGAAGGCTCACTGACAGGAGGTCACGGGATACTGGCAGTGGTACCACTTGGGCTCCCTACTCTGCCAACTTGCTTCTCTGCCCTCCGTTATTGCTGGAGCGCGAATGCCTCCAACCACCCATTAGCCTCCTAATGTGTGGTCAAGATCAGCCTCGTCCACAGAGGAGCCTGATCTTGACACCTCTGGTGCCAGTTGGCAAGTCCACTCAGTTTCACATCCTCCTGTTCCACATGTACCATATCTTCCAAATCCTCTCCAGCCCATGCCGCACCCGTGTAGTCCCCTCTATCCTCTATCTGGCCAAACAGAAGCTACTTGAGCATGTGGTGGCTTGTCATGCGGGCTACGTAACCCAGCCTCGCCTGCCAGAGGATGATGGGACTGTGTTCAGATCCTTAACTAATCGGTGAGCTCCTCACACGATCCAGCCTGGTTAAACCCAGGATGGATCGTAGCCAGGTCAGCCTGAATATTTCTAACTGGCACAGATGTTCCTTGAAAGAGGTCCACATTTAGCAACCTTAGAGAATGGAGGGAATAACTTCGGCCGAAAAGACCCGGAGCTTCGTATGGAGTGATAGGTCAGAAAACTTCCACAAACGCGTGTACACACAGGTACGCGTGTACACGCATGTATACACATCGGCGCACGGGCAAGTGTGTACTCTCCCCGGGGGCGCCACCAGGAGGCGCTGTGACCACGCGAGAGAGGCGCGGCCACGGTGGAGGCGCTGCAGCCTGCAGCAGGGTGGGCGGTGGCAGCCACTAGTAGTAGCCCTAACCAACACACCACTAGTAGTAGCCCTAACTAACCAGCCACTGGCCCTAACCCCACCTCCTCCGCGTTGGGTGTCTAGCGGTGGCGCTCGCGGCCCCGGCGGGCGGCACCTCGAGCAGCAGGGAGAAGGTGATCCCTGCCGAGCAGAGCCCCATGAGCACGAACCCCCCAATGAGCAACTTCCGTCTGCCCAGCCGCTCGATCGTGAGACCCTGGGACACGCGGGATAGACACGGGGGAGACATGCAAGGATGCGCAGGGACACGCGGTGATACACAGGGACATACGGAGACAGGGAGATACACGGACACACGTGGACATCAGTCACGGCCCCATCTCTCGGTGGTGCTTAAAGGAGGAGGTGGTTTCAGAGACGAGAGGAGTTGATTGAACAAGATGGTTGTTGGAGGATTCATGTTTTTTTATGTTTGTTTATGTGCTATGAAGAAGGGCCATTGCGCTGAAACGTCACCCAGTATATATATTTTTTTCTTTAAAGACCACTGTATTACTGACGAATGCGTTGCGTTTGTTGTATAGGATACGGTCGTTTCATTGTAGATGATAGCTTAAAAGTTAGTTTAGGCGTTGACTTAAACGTTATGGGGTGATTTAGGGTTGTTTTCGGCATACATTAAGTTTTTGGGTTGGTACAGGGGTCACTATGCTGGTTTTAGGGGTCACGAGGCTGGTTCAGGGGTCACGAGGCTGGATTAGGGGTCACGAGGCCGGCTTGTTTTGGTCTTTCTCACAAGTTGATCGCGCTATCGGCGTCGCGTCGTCACGAATCCATTCCAGATCCCTTGGAGAACGGCCCCTTCGTGTTGGAGAACGGCCCAAGGAAGTGAATACTGCAGAGCTACCTCTGTGGTCCCCTAACGTGACCTCTGACCCACACAGTAGAGGGCAGCACTAGGATGCTGGCTGACGAAGGGGTGTCGTGAGGCTGGGTTCGGATCGATTCTAGACCACGAGGCTGCTTTGGGTGTAATTCACGGGTCACCAGGATAGAGTGGAGGTCGGGGTGGGGGGATGGTTTAGGGGTCTCGGGGGGCCTCACCCCCAGCACCCCGGCGAGGATCTCGATGCCGCCCGTCCCCACCGTCACGTAGGACAAGTTCAGCTCGCCGATCCCCGCGCTCGCAAAGATGGAGTTCGTGTAAAACCAGATCTGCGGCGAGAGAGGAGGGCAAGGGGCGTGGGTCGAAGGGTCACGGCTGCAGTCATTCGTTGGCAATCCGAGCAGTGAAAGCGACGTTTTACTTGAAAGAAACATCAACAACATGATCCTCAACGCTGGCCATGTCTGTTTGTCAGTCCCTCATTCATGGAATCGGCCGAACATCCCGATACAGCAGGACCCTCCTGACAAATAGGGAGGCTTTCTATTGTAATAATTCTCCACAATAAGATCAACACAGTTCCTTCTGTAGAGTGGGAATTGAACCGATCCTGTTTGTCCTACCCTTGGAACGGAGAGAGGGGTCACGGGGACGTGGGGTCAAAGGGACCCAGAGGGTGCGGGGACACGGGGATACCTCCGGGGACGCGGGGTTTAGGGGACACGGGGGCACGGGAAGAGTAACGGAGCCATGGGGAGATGGAAACGTGGGGTGGCAGACTTAAGGGGGGGACTGGGCCAAGAGCACGTAGAGGTTCGGGGACACGACAGTACTTGGGCACAGGGACACTGATGCAGCGCTCAATCGGCACTGCGAAACAGGGGTTTAGAAAAACAGGAGCATGGTCATACGGGGTCCCAGGGAGACAGAGACCCAGGGGGAGAGGGAGACAGAGACCCAGGAAGACAGGGAGAAAGGGACCCAGGGAGAGAGGGAGAAAGGGACCCACAGGGAGACAGAGAAAGACACACACACAGGGAGACAGGGACCCACAGGGAGACAGGGAGAGACACACACACAGGGAGACAGGGACCCACAGGGAGACAGAGAGAGACACACACAGGGAGACAGAGAGAGAAAGACACAGGGAGACAGAGAGCGAGAGACACACAGGGAGACAGAGAGAGAAAGACACAGGGAGACAGAGAGCGAGAGACACACAGGGAGACAGGGACCCAAGGGAGACAGGGAGAATGATCACCGGGCCGGGAGCCTGGGGCGCCGCGCTCCGTGGTATTTTGGGTTCGTGACGAAGCGACAAGATGAGCGTGAAACACGGCGCGGCCTGCAGCTCCCCACCCCCTCTCCCCTCCCTCCATGAGACAAAGGCAAACGCCCTCCTCATCCCACAGATTCAATCGGCAGCAGAAAAAATTGGCATCTTCACATATCTGTCCTTCCACATTAAAAAGAATGAAATAAAATGTTACACATCCCGTCAACTGCGCAGCCTTTTCGGAGTGCAACATTTCAAGCGGCATTTGTTCAATACAGTTTCGACGTGCGGTGTCTCATCAGCAGAGTCAAACTCTGGCTTCAACCAACGCTGGGTGAACTGGCAGATGTTTATCGTCAAGGACTCCACTCTCGTGCAAGGCGTTTCATTTCTCAGGGTACTCCGGTTTCCTCCCCACGTGGATAACAAACACAACTCATCATTAATTGCGAGAAAATAAACTAAACTCTGAGCTATTTTTTATTTTACCAGGTAAGGTCCACTAGGCTATTATACAGCTCTTTTTCAGAAGCGACATGGACACAAATGTTATCTCAACGAAGTGGCTTATCACGTGGAAATGTATCGCGGCCAAAAACTCTGAACACATTTTGGTTCTAAATGGAGGAGGGAGGCCTGGGTAAGAGGCGGGGCAGTGGACGTCTCTCCTCGTCGTCAGCCAAGGAGGCAGCGCCCTCCTCATTAAGAGTCCCACGACTCAACGTGGCTCTTGCGGATAGATGAGTACTGTAGATGGATGAGTACTGTAGATGGATGAGTACTGTAGATGGATGAGTACTGTAGGTAGATGAGTACTGTAGATGGGTGAGTCAAGTGGACAGGCGGAAGCGGCAGATATCAGGGCTGAGGACACTGCCGGGCAGTGCTGATGGCGGTAGATGGATGAGTACTGTAGGTAGATGAGTACTGTAGATGGATGAGTACTGTAGATGGGTGAGTACTGTAGATGGATGAGTACTGTAGGTGGATGAGTACTGTAGATGGATGAGTGAAGTGGACAGGCGGAAGCGGCAGATATCAGGGCTGAGGACACTGCCCGGCAGTGCTGATGGCGGTAGGATAGACTCGTGGCGCACGGTGTGCGCATGTAGCGGTGCGTACGTATGGGTGTGCGTGTACAGATGTGTATCTGTGTGTGTGGGTGTGAGAAGGGGTTTGTATTACGTGTCGGTGTGTGTGTAATATTGAGTAAGTCCAGGCACGTGGTCGACCCAGCCTCAAGTGAACATCGCCACTGGGGAGGCAAAGGCGGCCGGGCGTGGTGCTGGCCACCCACCCCCTTGTGTGCCATGCCGGCCTTCATAGGTTGCCACTCGCTAACACCACTTGCCCCAACAGTCCGTTGAGGCTATCGGGGAGGGGGGGGGGGGGCTCACAGGGCGCGAACATTCAAACTCCACACGTAGAGACGCCCGATTCGGGGATCGAACCCATGCTGCCTCCCGCTGCGAGGCGCGGGCGCCGCACGCGGAGCGGAGCTCACCGCGTCGATGCCCGACAGCTGCATGCCCAGGTTGATGACCGCCACGGACAGCAGCTGCCAGCGGAGCGAGCGGTCGTGCAGGAGGCCCCATGCGCTCACGCAGCGCACGCCCAGCAGCGACTGCTGCTCGGTGCGCATCTCCTGCATCTCCGCCTGCACGTCGGGCGTGCCGCGCAGTCGCACGAGCGCTGGGGAGGACAGGGGGGGGGGGTCGGGGTGAGGGGGGGCGCACACCACGGGTCGCACCGCCCGCACCGCCGCGTCTGTTATCGAGCGCCCGCGAGAGAGGGCGACGCTCGCGCGCCACGTGCAATGCGCCGCGCTGCGTGCCGTCGATGTTGTTGATATCCAGGTGAGAACTCGAAGGAGACCAGCACGAGTCTCGTTTGTAGGAGTGACCTGGTGGCATTCGTCCGCCAGTTGTGGGGAGACAATGGCTGCGTGTGTGTGATCCCAAAATGAGAAATCTGTGGGGTGATTTTCGAATTGAGCAAAATTGGACCCTGACGCCGGCACAGCTGAGCCGACTCATGGCCCATGCCGTCACGGGATCTATAAAATCCGCTGTGAAGCAGACGGTACACCCGCAGTACACCCACAGTAATAACCGGTGCGGCTTGCCGGATTCTAACCGCGAACCTCTGCACCGAGCTGCGATCGCGCTGCCGCTGTGCGACGTCACGGCGCTCAACGCGCAGCACCTCCCACCCCTCCCCCCTCTCCCCCGGCGTCTCAGGGCCCCAGGCTCCTCTCACCTCGCCTGGCGGACACGGGGTCCCTGCAGTCGATGAGGAGGTATCGGGGACTCTCTGGGAACCAGGGCAGCAGCATGGCCTGGATGAAGGCGGGTACCATGATGAGGCTCAGGACCAGCGGCCACGACTCCTCCTGACTCGCGCACGCACGCAGGGCATGGGGTCAGGTGTGAGGGCTGCCACACATTTCGAAGACACCACGGCGTCAGACATGGGCCTTCCACGTGTTCCTAACACATGCCATGCACTTAATCGGGGGGGGGGGGGGGGTTCTATGGATTTCAGATACACGCAGATATCTGAACGCAACACGATGTTAGACGACTTCCCCCCGGAGCGTCGTTGATGGGGGGGAGGGGGGGGATAGAGAACTGAAATGACATTTCTATCCCCAGGTGAGATGTGGGCGAGAGGGCTTCCGCGGCTTTCCGCTCACCTTGCCGAGGACCTCCCTGAGGCCGAAGAACTGCGCGAGGAAGACCCCCAAGCAGATGAAGATGGAGGGGACGAGCCCCATGGAGCCGCGCAGGTTCTTGGGGGCGACCTCGCCGAGGTACATGGGGACCACGCTCAGAGCGATTCCTGGTGGGGCACGGCGGGGGGCGGGGGTACACAGGGGACAATGCAACAACAACAACAACGCAGCCACATGGGGGTCATGGTGAGAACATTGCCCAGAAACGGAGATGATGGAGACACGGGGGGGGGGGGGGGGCGGGGCAGCAGAGCTGGAGGGGCTCCCGTGGATTCATTTGTAGGGGTCCCGGTGGGGATCCATAGGGGTCTCTCGTGTGAGGGGGGTGATCCATAGGGGTCTCGTGGACTGATCTGTGGGGGGGGGGTCCCATAGGGGTCCCTTGTGTAAGGGGGGGGGTCTGTAGGGGTCTCGTGGACTGATCTGTGGGGGGGGGGGGGGGTCCCGTAGGGGTCCCTTGTGTGGGGGGGGGACCCATAGGGGTCTCATACCCGAGTGGACCCCCGTGACGAGGCGGCCCAGGATGAGGATCTCGAAGGAGTGAGCTGCGCTGCTCGCAGCCATGAGGGCCCCGGCCAGGAAGACGAGGAGCGAGCTGTAGGCCAGCGTGCCCTTCCTGCAGCCACCACCACCACGACGAGATGATGGTGGTGGTGTTCGTTATATATATGTGTGTGTGTATATATTTATAAAATATCAAACAAAAACAGAGCAAATAACAAGAAGCCCGCTGGCACGGAGACACGGGGACAGGGGGCGAGGGGACACGGGGACACGGGGATATGGAAACAAGGGTACCTGCCGAGCCGCGAGCAGAGGAACCCCACGAGGCAGGACCCCGTGAGACCCCCGATGGCGAACACGGAGACAGTGAGGGAGTAGAGGAGCGTGAGGCCCTCCGCGCCGAGCGAGGCGCCGTAGCGGCCAGCCCAGCTCGAGTTGTAGAACGTCTTGATGTACTGAGACACGGGGACACGTGAAGACACTGAGACACGGGGACACAGAGACTGGGGGACACGCGAAGACACTGAGTATTGGGGATACGGAGACATGGGGGTGATAATTGCTGCTACGTGTAATCGCACTTTGAGTAATTTTCGAGTTTGTAAAACGTGGACCGTGACGCCGCGGGCACACACGGGGGTCCACTCGTCTCCAACGACGTCACCGGCTCCCCCTCTCGTCGTCCACCGCGAGTGAAGCAGACGGCGCGGGGCGGCAGTATTAACCGGGGCGGCCCGTCCGATCCGAACCGCGCACACACCGGTCACGCGGCAAGCGGCGTAACGCGTCGCTGTGACCCGCGGCGCGGACCTCACCTCGGCCGGCGCGTTCACGACGGCCAGGTTGTAGCCGTAGAGCGCGGAGGAGCCGAGCGACACGAGCAGCGACAGCGAGAAGAGCGACCACGTGAGGCGCTGCGGGGGGCAGCGGGGGCAGCGGGGGGGGGGGGCAGCGAGAGGAGAAGTCAGGGGGTGGGGGATGGGATGGGAGGGCAGTTAGGAGGGGGCATGGGGGGGAAGGGCAGGCAGAGGGGGGGCAGCAACAAGGGCAGGGGCAAGGCCGGGTAGGGGGAGGAGGGCAGGGATGGGAGATGTAAGAATCGTCGTACCGATGCTTCCATCTTCGTCGACACGAATTGCTGTGTCGCGAGGGCCGTAGTCCGTCTGGTTGATGCTCAGATTGTTATCTCAGATTGTTATCTCAGATTATTGTTTCGCACCGTACGGAGCAGGGGGTCCTAGGCCACTGCTACGTTTGGGCAATGTGGTGCACTCCCAATGAAGCGACCAGGCCACACGGCGTTTAAAGTGTCGTCTCCAACTCACTCCCAACTGGACTTCTCTGGCCTCTCTCTCTCTCTACTGTGAACAAGGGCCATTGCCCGAAACGTCGCCTATCACGTACTTTGTTTTTGTTGTTGTGTTAAGGCCACGCTGTTGTTGTGTTGAGTTTGTCCCGGTAAAAGTCGTGCGTGAGGACGTCGGAGAAGGCTGAGACGAGTCGTGGCACCGCACAGATCGCGTCAAGAGCCACCTTGCTGTGCTGCCCGCGTCTCGCCACACTCGGAGCCCCGCGGGGATTTGGAGTTTAACAAATCTGTGCGTGACCCGCCAACCCGCGCCTCCACGGCGCTGGATCCCAGCGAGGGCAGGACGGGGGGAGATGGTGGACGATGCTGATGGTGGTGTAGACATGAGTGTCGACGGTGATGGAGACGATGCTGATGCTGATGGTGGTGTAGACATGAGTGTCGACGGTGATGGAGACGATGCTTGTCGTAATGATGGCGAGGATGATGATGTGGAAATGATGTGCGTTGAACTTCTTTTGCACCGTACGTTGCCAACCGGGCTCACTCGACCCGCTCGCCTCGGCGATGATGACAGTCGTGGACAATGATAATGATGTTGTTGATAATGGGGTCGATAGTGCTGATGGCTATGGTCGTGTTGATATTGACAGTGATGATGATGATGTGCAAAGTGATGATGACGCTGGTGGAGTCGCCACTCACCCCGTTGGTCTCCGTGAGTGTCTCCGAGGTCTCCAAAATGCTGTCCGACAGGGAGCCCATTGCCTCCTCGCCTGGACTCCAACCCGCGGTCCTCAACTCTGGGGACTCGCCGCTGAGTCCCCGTGTCCCTCCCCCCTCCCCAGTCCCCTCCCCCCTCCACCACCGAGACCCCTCCCCCCTCCCCAGACCCCTCCCCCCACCACCACGGCCGTGGCTAACATCTGAGCAACCTGCGCCGACCATGCGTGGTGAAGTCTGGTCAAACGCAACTCCCGGGTGGGCAGTTTGGGGCTTTCGTCCAGCAGCGGAGTGGCGCAGGGGGCAGCAGCGCCGAGGGCGCGACGACCCTCGGGTTGCGGCCACGTTCAGGCTCGGAACAAAAACAGCGCGAAGCAAACGAAAGTGGGGAGGGAGGGAGGAGGGGGGCAGGTCTCGTACCCCGCGCGACCATCGCTGATGCGATCACATGACGCGGGCCGCGGTCACGGATTACATTAACAAGGAGCCCCAGGCAAAGGGGGTGGGGGGGATCCTATCCGGGGTTCAGGGTTAAACTTAAAACACAAGACGACAAGAGCTGTTCACAAACGCCCCCACTCACCGGCCCCTGCCCCGCAAGGGGCATTCGCAATCATCACGATCCACCACGTGCTACCCCCCTCGCCTCCCTGACCCCCATCTCCACATCCCGATGCGATGGAGCAATGGGAAGGAGTGGGGGAGGGATATAGAAGAGGAGCTGCAGGTTGCAAGGGTCGCGTGTCGTCCCCCCAAGCACTGCCCCCCCGATCGACCAGGAGAGAGAACAGCGCCTCGCTCGCTACCCTGAACTCTGCGGCATAACCCCGACCCTCCAAGCCCAGGGATGCCCAAACCCCCTCACCACCTCGCGACGTGTGGGGAGACATCGCGGATGTCACGGTGTCATGCCGGCCCGAGAGGGGCACGGCGTGCGGTGTGGCGACATCGCGGGCACCACGTGGTGTGGGTGCAGCAGCGGCCCTGGAGGGGCTCGGTGAGCGCTGACTGACAGCGCTGGGTGGCACCACGCTCTGCGGTGCAGTGCCGACCCCTACAGGATAGGGTTTGAGAGTGTCGGCCACAGGGAATGGGGTTACTAAGGGTCGTGGCAATCCGGTTGACCCCAGAGGACACGTGACCGGTTAAGTCTGCACAGGGCCCCCAGGTGGGGGCTCGGGGTGGTCACGTGTCAGGGCCGAGATCCTGCTCGAGGATTCTGGAAGGTGGGCGTGGCCAAGGGGCGGAGTCGGCCACGCCGTGGAGGATATAAGCCGGGTCCCCAGAGGGAGCAGCTGCTGTTGTTCATCCTGAAGAAATCTTCGTCTACATCCTACAGTCACCAACACGTGGACCTGGACCCAAGCTGTGGCCTGGTCCCTTGTAGCTAGTTACCGTGTACTTAGTGCAGTTAGCCTGGTGGTCACCACCATAGGTAATTGCGTTAAGGGGTCGTGACCCCGTGTGTCGGTGTTAATAAATGTGTTGCCTCCAAAGAGAACGTCTGTGAAACAGTTGAATCCACTACACTTGGCGATCTAAGCAAGTAACGCAGTGACGTTAGAACACGTGCACACCGATCCCAATCCCAATCAACAGCACGTCACGTGTTTAACAATGATCGGGCGCGTGGAGTGAGTTAATTTCTTTGAATATGGGGAGTAAAATGGCAAACGTGGAGAGACGTGGCGTAGTGGAGCGTCGCTAGGACTGGAGTTTGGAAAACTCCGCTCTAACCCCTGATTGTAACACTACCCACTAACGCCAACTCGACCCCTTAACCCAAACACTGTCGTCAAAATCAGCGTCCTTCATTGCAAGGCAACACCCCCCATCATCATCACGCTGCTGTCAAACCCCAATGGTTTCAAAAGTGTGGCAGCCCTCACACTGACGACGTCTATGTTCCGTTTGGAATTGGTAAAAGCTACCGTACTGCCTCTACTTGATTACTGTGACATCGTGTATAAATCAGCCCCAAGTACTTTACTGAAGAAGCTTGACTCAATGTATCACTCGGCCTTAAGATTTGCATTGAACTGCCCATATAGGACTCACCACTGTGATCTCTACATTGGGTGAAACTGAACAACTCTTAATGTTCGACGGCTTGTGCACCAGATCTTACAAAAAAATCCGCAGATTACCTGCTGGATCTCCTCTCTGTTTCAAAGAACAAATATGACCGAAGATCTTTGCTTATTTACCAGCTTCACATTCCCTATTGTCGTACAAATACTGGAGGAAGGGCCTTTGTTTTTGATGGCCCCAGGGTCTGGAATGCTATTGCCAATAAACTGCAACTTGAATCACTACCTATGAGATTTTCACTCAAACTGCTCTAGAGGAGTTGTACACCCCAAACTGCCACTGCTATTCATTGGCCTAAAATAAAATGTTTCGCTCCGGATGATCGCTGCAAAGTATGACCGGTGTTTTGATTTAGTGTGCTGATCTTAAAGGTGCATTGAAACATTTTGATACTCCGACTGATGCTCCTGCTGTTGTGGAGTGACTCATGCAGCCAGCTATGGCTGCAAGATTTGGTGGTACATGTTGTTTATGTCGTTTTTTGTGAAAATTCGGTCACAGTTCCTATGATCACTGTTTCATTGCTTTTATGGCTTTATTTTGATTTCGAAAAGTATTTTGGTTTGGCCATGTTTGTTTGTTGTAGTACGGAGTTAGACTGATGGCCTTAATCTAAGTTGCCTTGTGGTTGTTGACTTGTATCCCACTGGGATTTTTGCACAGTGTTGGTATACGGTGCTTTTCTTGGATTTTTTGTTTGCACAGTCACTTTAAGATGTTTTCTTGTTCACGTTTTTGTTTTTTGTTTGTTGCGGTTGCACCCGATTCAAGAGCCGAATGGCTCACAGGGCTATACCAAATAAATGAACTTGAACTGAACTTGTCGGCGAAAGTGCTCTCCGCCCCCCCCCCCTGAAAACGAGTGAATAACACTGGACTAAACCCCATCTCTTTTTGTTGGGTAAGCGTCGTTGTTGTCGAGGTGTGGTGCGGGTGCCATCATCGGGGCTTTGGCCACCCTCGTGGCGTCTTGCTCCTGGCACGGACCCCCCCCCCCCCCCACGAACCCTGCCCCTTCGGCAACAGCGAGAGACGCAGTCGGGGAGGCCGCGAGTTTACAAACAGCCGACTTTTATTCCCATCGTCGAGTTCACGGGCAGCGCGACGAGGGAGAGCCACCGGGGCCGCTCCGTGCACGCAGCGGCGACGGCGCGGCAAGAGTCGAGAGGAAATCGGCGCGCGGCATCTTCCGGCCGCGCGACTTCTGTTCCGTGCGACTTATGCCGCTTGGACACGGCGGAGTCGCGCGGTGCGACTCCTCCGGCGCTCGCGCGGTGAACGCGAGGAGGGCCCAGGCGCCGTCGCCGATGCGGAGAGCCGCGGCGCCATCGGCTCCGGACACGAGGGGAGACGAAAAGTCGCGGATGGGGAGGCGGGGCAGGCGGGGCAGGCGGCCCGGGGGCCTAGCCGACTCGGCAAGCGCTCGATGGCTCCAACCCGAGCCAACTCGGCCCGCTAGCCACGAGCACGGGGCCGTCCCTAAGCAATTAACAACCAGAGGCGAACCCCAATCCCCAATCGCAGTAGACAACCAGCCCTGCAAATGACAATAAACCTGCACCTAACGCACTACCCAACCAGAACCTCGCGGTACCCAAACCAGCCGTGAGACTTGGTCCCGCCACCGTCGGCCCGCGCACAACCAAAAAGCACGAGACGGGCACCTGCCTCCCACCAATCAGCCACCCAAGGCACTCGTGCTCACCCCCCTCCCACTGAACCTGCCCATGGCCCGAGCCCCACCAGAGCACGGGTGCATGTGTTGTTGTTTCATCTTCCGTGCCGATGTCCACAGCCTCTCATCGCACTGCTGCATGGGGGGGGGGCTCAACGTCAAGACGGGGGTGGGGAGGGCTGGGGGTGAGGGGGGCTCACCTGGTGCAACAGGCCGAGCCATTTTCGGGACAATCTCACCCCCCTGCGCCCCCCCCCACAAACCCCCAACAGGACTCCTGCCGCCCGCCCTTCTCACCCGCACCCCCCGTGTCGGCTCTAGGAGTCGGCATCTACACTCGCGTAGCCGCTGCTCCTGCTGCTGATGTTGGTAAGTACTACCATTGTTAACAACAATAACAACAATCAATAATAATAAAGTAATAAATCAAGCACTGCGCTCAGTGCCGGGACGCAGCGATCCGAACATTTAAAAAAAGACGAAGGAGGGCGCCGCTGCAACACGCGCGCCCCGCTTTAGTTTAAGATCTCACGGACACCGCCACCCACGCGGGCGGGCGGCAAACACGAGCGGGGTCGGGGTGGGGGTCCCGGGCCGGGGTCATCGAGCCGGCTTCCCGGTGCATGGTGGAGGTGACCAAGCCCAGTGGCCCCGTCGGTAATTTCAACAAACGGCGCCGCGCAAACCGTGCGCCAAGAACGTCGCACGGGGGACTGCATGTCGACCGTGGGGGTGGGGGTCTCCGCGCCACGGGCAGAGAGAGAGCGGAGGGCACCCCCCCTGCGCGGAGAGGGGGGCACACGAGCTGTGCATCAGTGCGGTCGCGTCTTGCCCCCCCGTGGCGATGGCAGTGGCAAGGAACTCTGGAAGGGGTGGGCGAGTGCGGAACGCGGAGCGGACGAGTGTGCGAGTGCGGAGTGGGTGAGTGTGTGAGTGCGGAACGGGCGAGCAGAGGGCCTTGTATGCAAGTGGCTGCGAGTCGAGGGCGAGCGGGAGTACGAGTGAGCGGAGGGTGTGTGTGTGGAGGGAGCCTCGGTGATGTCACCGCCACTTGATGGCGAACGGCGGTTGTTGTTGTTGGAGGGGGGTGGATGCGGGTACTGGGGAGACAAAGGGGGCTGGGCGTGGTGCTGGCCACCCACCCTCTCGTGTGGCGTTCCGGCCTTCATAGGTGCTCGCTAACAGCACTTGCCCCAACAGTCAGTCAAGGCTATCGAAGGGATCTTTGTATTCGTGTATAAATGGAAGGTTTGTGTGTGTGGAGCGGTTTTAGTATGCAAGTTGGGTGTGTGAGTGGAGGTGTGTTT